TCCAAGTGGAGAGAAAGACACTGGAAACATGGAGGCTGCTTGGAAGGATGGTTTAATGGTGAACAGGGGTTTGAAGTCTTGGGCAGTTGACCACGTGGACTGGAGAGTGAGTGTTATTTATACCCTCACCTTGGGCTTTGATCTTGAGCTTCCTGTTCCTGTGGCGACGGCATGTGTCCTATTGGTTGCTAGACTCCCATGTGGAGTCATGTTTGTCCGAATCGAAATTGGTTGAACCTTGCTAGATGATGTAATGAAGGGGCTTGCTTGATTGTGCCACGTGGTGAGCTAGATAATCCGATTATGTCTTGATTTTTTTAGTTTGTGATTTTTTTGAGGCGGGAGCTAGCAGCTCAAAATGCAATCGGTTTTGTTCATCATCTTGGCAAATCACTCGATGACCGAAGCTGCTGAAATGTTGCCTGATACCTGGCAGTTTCCTGAAAACTCTGCACTGGCTGCCAACTTGATCAAGGCTAGATGGAAGAACCTGTGCTCTAAATTCAGTGTTTGGGGTGTGAATCAAGTCTGCAACTCCTTCTGTTTTCACTGGGTGCTGCATGCAAATACGGCTTTCTTTGTGGGTATTTTTTTTAAATACTTGCATTTTTGGCTAGTAATTGTGAGAAAGGATTACTGAAAAATAGGAAGAGTGGAAGATTCATCAAATGTTTGCTTTCATCGTACACAAACGCTTCTAATATACGATGGAACCCAATGCAAAAAAAAAACCCTCCTTTGTCTTGAACTACAATTTTAGAATCCTAAAACAACTTGAAAATGTGCTTTCTTCTTTCTTTCCCTCTGCTCCTCTCTTCCCCCCTTGCAGGATTGTGTGCTTCTGACTTCTTTGCTCCAATATTATCAAATGCACTGAACATTTAATAAAATGATACAGAAAAAAAAAAAGTATGGACTTCAATGCCCAAACTTCCCCAGCCATCAATTGTGGGAGTAACTCCTTAATTTGCCACTTGTGCTGGAATGTTATCTGGGATCAATATTTTTTATTGTTCAATTCTCACATGTAACCAGTATCTTTTATTATTGACCATCACTTGGTTTTCTGACATACGGCTAATAACAGAATACAGGTAGTCCTCAACTTACGACAGTTCGTTTAGTACTATTCAAGGTTACATGACGGAAAATAGTGATTTATGACCGTTTTTCACACTTACGACCGTTTTACCGTCCCCCTGCTCACATGGTTCACAATCGGATTGTATCTGACTCAACATTTATGACAGTTGCAATATCCAAGAGTTACTTTTGTGACTCTCTGACAAACAAAGTCAATGAGAAAGCTAGATTCAAGTAACCTTATTCATTTAACAACTGCGATGATTGACTTAAGTGAATTTTGCCCTGTTGAAAGTTAAAATCCACACTTCTCCTAGAAAAATGAAATATTTTAGGATATACTAAAAAGGCAGAATATTTTCCCTAAAAAGAGAAGTAGAAACTCAGAAGCAGAAAGTCACCTCAGAAGCTCACCTTCGTCAATGGATGGGCCATTAAGGCCTGGGCCAGAGTATTCTACATAACAAAGGCCTCTACCCCATCTCATCACCTGGCCTGGGAAGATTGCATCAGCCAGCACTCAGGTGAAGCCAGGTGGTCCAGACAAAGCCTACAAAGTTAGCTAAGAGCCCCTGGCCTTGGAAGCCTGACAGCCAATGGGATACGTTTCTTACAAGGAACAGGAAACACCAAAGAAGGGTATACAACTAAGGGTCTCTCAGCATCTTGGGCCTTCTTTTCCTTCACCCAACACCTTGAAGCACGTGACTGTCCTTTTCACTTCGGAGCTCCAAGGCACGTGGTCCTGTCCACCATTAAACCAAGCAGCCTCCATGTTTCCAGCGTCTTTTCCCCCACTTGGAACTGAACTCGGAAGGATATTTCTTCCAACTGCCCCATGACAACTTTTCTTGCCACATTTAATAAATTTCTCACTTAACGTAAATTCTGGGCTCAATTGTATCCTAAATTTAAGGACTTACCTGTATAGAGTTGGAAGGGACCTTGGAGGTCTTCTAGTCCAACCCCCTTGCTCAAGTGCTCGACTTACAACCATAATTGAGCCCAACACTTGTTGCTAAGCGAGACAGTGACGTGAATTTTGCACCGTTTTATGACCTTTTTTGCCACAGTTGGTAAGTGAAACTCTGGTGTTGAATTATGTATCACAATTAAGTGCTTTAAATTGAAAGAATTTTTAAAAGCAACTGTTGGAAGAAATATCCTTCTAGATATTCAGTTCCAAGTGGGGAAGAATGGAAACATGGTGATTGTTTAATGGTGGACAGGATCACATGCCTTGGGTGAAGAAGAAAAAAAGGAAGAAATGCTGAGAGTGCCATGGTTTTATGCCCACTGTTGGGATTTGAATTTGAGCTTGTGTTCTGATTGGTTGCCAGACTCCCATGGGGCCATGCAGGAGCAACCTTGTAGGCTGTCCTGGGTCCCAGGCTTGGTTGAACCTTGCTGGATGATGATGTAATGAAAGGGCTTTGGACAATTCCTACTATGGCTCTAGCTGGAGGAGGTAGATCTTTGTTATGTAGAATACTGACCCAGACAAAAGTATGGGGGAGGGGCTGAGTTTCTGCCTCTCTGAGTTTCTACTTCTCTTTTAGGGGAGATATTCTGCCTTTTTAGTATATCCTAAAATATTTCATTTTTCTAGGGGTGGGGTGGGTTTTAACTTCCAACACACCATAAACGCCCACCAGGCTGCCCCAAATATTTAGGCCTAAACCAAATTTCAAGATCTTTCTAAAATCCCCATTATCATTCCCCTCCCTCCTGCATTTCCTTAGAAGTTGCTAATAATAATAGGTCAAAAATCTCGGATTTCCCCTGCAAAAATTTGGAGTCGAAGCCACAATGTTAATAAAAAGCTTTGGAGAAATATGGGAGACGGAAGCTTATTAAAATTTTACAGCCAACTGGCCATCTGTATTTTTGGAGTTTAGACCTGAAAAACTCAGACCGCCCCTTTATTTCCAGGGTGTCTTTCTTTGAAGAATCTTCTGGCCCAGTTCCGTTTCCAGATTGCTCCTTGTTTGGCCCTGTTGGGACATTAAATATCCCCCCTCCCCTACAGGAAATGAAAGGGCTATTAAGTCAATGAAACCTTCTCCAAGTTCTCCTTCTGGTCAGCTTCCATCCACCAAAGAAGCCACGTTTTGACCAGTTTAAATTAAAACATTTTGGAGACCTGACCTTAGATCGAAAGCAGCTTTTGTAGTGATTGTAAGCAAAATCTAGCTCTTTTGTGAGTTGGTGAATGGCTCTGAAAAGAGCCTCGGAGGCGGATGTAGGTGCTCCGTTTAGATTAAATAATAAATGGACTTGATCTCGGGTCTTTTAGGCCCCTTCAGATCTTCTTGGGCAGCAAGGCGGGCGGGATATTGGGCACGACGCCGCCCTGGGGGATAGTGACCCGGCTGAGCAGCTTGTTCATGTCGTGGTCGTTGCGGACGGCCAGCTGCAAATGACGCGGGATAATGCGCGTCTTCTTGTTGTCCCGCGCCGCGTTGCCCGCCATCTCCAGGATCTCGGCCGTCAGGTACTCCAGCACGGCGGCCAGGTAGACCGGAGCGCCGACGCTTATCCGCTCTGCATAGTTGCCCTCGCGAAGCAGCCGATCCACGCGGCCCACCGGGAACTGCAGCCCAGCCCGAGAAGAGCGAGTCTTGCCTTTCGCTCTGGCTTTGCCGCGCTGCCTGCCACGTGTCAACATCCTGATTTTCCACCCGCGAGAAACGTCTCGAAAGTGAGACCGTGTTGCGGCCAATTCCTGCTTTTATAGTCGCCGCCGGCTCCTGGGCGGGTGGAAAGGATTGGAGGAAGCCGCTCGTCCAATGAGACCTCGGGCATCTCCTCTTAGCTCATCGAAGGAGCCAATAGGAACGGCGGCGAGAAGACCCCCAACAAAAGGTTGCAAGGGTTTTTCTTTTTCTCACGAGGTCGCTTTGAACTTT